CCCCAAAAGCGTTCGTGTAATCAAGTTTTTTGTCTTCGACAATTTGTGTCCCTGTCTAACTGTCCATGTAGTGCAGGGGGGCAAACAAACCTTTAACTTTGTCCATGGGAAAAAGTATACAAATTTGCGATGTCTTTAATTATATAATAAAACATTTTCGAAATCTTCAAATGAGTAAATTATTTTTTAAAAAGCATTTGTTTGGTGTTTGTTAAATACAAAATTACAGACTAGTGACTACCTCTCTACCATGAGTATCGAATCCTGACTTTTGGTATTATAAGCCCAAAGTCTCACCGCTGAACTACCGTTGTTTTTGTAAATTTCGCAAATAAAACTTTAATGTTGTTTTATTAGATGGGTTCTTTCTATTTTGTTAAGGATTTTATAAATACAACATAGTAACAACACACACACATATAAATAAGATAAATTCATGCATTTTTATATATATATATATAAATGCGCATATTCAATAATTTGTAATTTTATTAGATAGGGCTACAAAACATCGATCTCGACTGGCCGTGATAGTACGCCAACAATAAATTATTAGTTTATGAAATTTTTATATATACATATATAAATATATATATACATTGATTATATGACAATGGCATGTCCCCAAGTGGGTCAGTGGTAAAATTACACACTTAAACGCTAAAATTTGAGTTTCAACTCATCGTAGTGGACAGAGTGCAGATAGCCCATTGTGTAGCTTTGCAGTGAAAAAATTCCAACAACAAATTAATAATGACTGAATAAATAAATAAGACACAATCTTGAATTCTTCTGTTTTTTTCAGGTTTGTTTGTAGTTAAGCACAAAGCTGCACAATGGGCTATCTATGCTATGCCCACCACGGCTATCGAAACCCGGTTTCTAGCGTTGTAAATCCGCAGACATACCGCTGTGCCACTGGGGGGCTTTTCAGATTTAAAAATGTAAAATGAAACAAAGTTTCGAAGTGTCTTTCGACTAGTCCCCATTTTCAAGATGGCGCTGATTCGAAAGTCATGCATCATTCTGATCACACCATTGACCTCTCCTTAATTCCAATCATAAAATAATCTGACACTTTAATTACTCCATCACACTCTTTCAGCAATTTAAAGACAAAAAAATGTGGTTTTCAGAGACTTTGTAGAACAAAAAATATATATTATTCTTTAGACGTGCTTATTTTAGGTTTTACAGAAATATTGTGTTCATACGCACTTACCTTAGAGTTCTCATTATATATATATCTTAACATCGTAGTGTGGTGTTCTCAGTTGCACTGACTTCCTGTTCAAATAAGAGTAGTAACTGCAAATAACAGAAGGATCAACAGAAACTGTACCACAGAGCAAAACTGAATCTCTGACACTGAAAGTATATATATGTGAAAAAGAAAGGTTTGAAACTGTATGTAAAACAGGGAATTTTCACCTGTCTAAAATAAAGAAGAAAAAACATGAGTATACTTCACATACTACGTTAAGTTTGTTTTAGCCTCCGTTTTTGCATTTGTTGTATATTTTTGTAACAGCGAAAGAATAGAGGCGTTAAATATTTGTGTAACCAGGAAGAATTTGACTATTATTTTTGTAATCAGAAAAAAATTCGGTTTTAATTGTTTCTGTAACGAGGAAAAATTGAGATTTTAACAGGAAATATTGGTCTTTATTTGTTCCTGTAACCAGGAAAAATTGGGCTTTAATTGTTTCTGTAACCAGGAAGAATTGAATTTTTATTGTTTCTGTAACCAGGAAAAATTGGGCTTTAATTGTTTCTGTAACCAGGAAGAATTGAATTTTTATTGTTTCTGTAACCAGGAAAAATTGGGCTTTAATTGTTTCTGTAATCAGAAGAATTAGGTTTTATTTGTTTCTCTGTTCAAGAAGAATTCGGCTTTAATTGTTTCTGTAACTAGAAAGAATTGGGCTTTAATTGTTTCTGTAACTAGGAAGAATTGAATTTTTATTGTTTCTGTAACCAGGAAGAATTGGGCTTTAATTGTTTCTGTAACCAGGAAGAATTGAATTTTTATTGTTTCTGTAATACTAGGAAGAATTTGGCTTTAATTGTTTTTGTAATCAGAAAGAATTTTGTTTTTATTGTTTCTGTAACCAGGAAAAATTGAATTTTTATTGTTTCTATAACTAGAAAGAACTGGAGTTTAAGTGTTTCTGTAACCAGGAAGAATTGAGGTTCTAACCAGGAAATATTGGGCTTTATTTGTTTCTGTAACCAGAAAGAATTGGGCTTTAATTGTTTCTATAACCAGGAAAAAATGGGGCTTTAATTGTTTCTGTAACCAGGAAGAATTGGGTTTTACTTGTTTCTGTAACCAGAAAGAACTGGGTTTTTATTGTTTCTGTAACCAAGAAGTAATGAGACTTTAATTGTTTCCGTAACCAGGAAGAATTGGGTTTTTATTGTTTCTGTAACCAGGAGGAATTGGTTTTTTTATTTTTTCTGTAATCAGAAGAATTAGGTTTTATTTGTTTCTCTGTTCAAGAAGAATTCGGCTTTAAAGTCCACAAGTAAATAAGCGAAACATGTTCAACTATATCCAGCGACTGAAACCTTGAAAGTTTGACCCATAGCCGAACAACGATAACTCTCCCAGTTCTTTTGGTCTGGAAGACTAAGGGACTCATTGATTCTTGTGCTCTTTCAAGTAGTCTTTCACAGTTTACATTATTCTGTTACGAAATAATTTGCTTTCCTGTTAGACTAAGTGCTCTCGTTATAAGTAAAAGTTGAAGCCCTCTATTTATCAATTGAACAATTAGCTAATGGATCTTCTCAGAACGAACACTCAACAGGATTTGAAACAGAAAACTTTATAGCAAACATCTGTGTATCCATCAAACTGTTGATATTGTAGCATCCGTCATTTCAAAGTTGTTATGGAAACGATAGGGTTGGTGATATCGGCCTTCTGGAAGAGAAGCTTAGTTTAATAAAACAAGCAAACACATGTCACCATAAAATACGAATTTACGAAATACTGTCGCTCTCAAAAGTTATAGAAAATAGTATATAAATGAAACAATCTCAATGTCGTCATATCACGTGGTTCTAACAATTTTAATAAATACTAAGGAAACAAAGCTTTTAAATAAAAACACGCATAGGGAAAGTTTCAATATGATTAGACATAGCAAGAAAGGGTTAATTGGTATGTGTTACATTATATTACTAGTATCTCTCGGTGTACAGTTACTCAAATCTTGGCACTAGCGTTATAAAAAAAAACAATAATAAATCGCGCTCTCCACTTTGGAGTAGTAGGTGTGTTATAATCCCACTTACACTCAATCTGATAAAAGTAGCCCAAGAGCTGGCGACGGGTGATGTCGTCTAGCTGCATTCCCTCTAGTCTATCAGTTCAAAGTTAGGGTCGATTACGCGTAGATAGTCTTCGCGTAGCTTTAAGCAAAATCCAGAGAAATAAAGAAAACACGAAGACGATGATGCAACCATGATATGATGAAGTGATATATAGAACTCAATCCATCAAAATCACTCTTCACCTGAAAGTTAATACGTTATCTATACGTTAGATTAAAGAAAATAGATGACAGTAAGAGAAAATGATTTTGGTGTTTATCTCTCACCAACTCTGTCGTTTAAGGTCATCATCTCTACTGGACTGTCATGACAACGCTTGCCTGAGAGATTTTATATATACATACGAATGACGATAAGAGTATACAGCGTCTCATGGTAACTAGATAACCTCTCGTTGTATACCTATATATAATACATATTTCTTGTTCAAGTTTATACGAGCCGAGTAACCTTTATGATTTTTCTTCCTGCAAGATTCGGAAATACTGAAACAGAAAAGGCGACGCAAACAGAAGAAAGAAAACGAAAGAAATAACATTTACGACTATTAATGTTTATTTTGTTTATAGATTGATTTTTTTTCTCTCTCTCTCTCTGTCTTTGTTTTTAATTTTTTTACAAATATTATGAAGACAAATGAATTCTTTGGTACATTATTATATAGTTAATATACGTGTAAAAATAAATAGGAAAATTAGTAGTATTTAATGTAGATAAATACTGGATGTTAACAAGTAAAATATATTTTGTATTTTTTCTATCTGAACGGCAACCTAAGTGACAAATGAGCTAACTGGCCAGGTCAGAAACTCTAGGATTCGGGCATAACTATTCCTAACTTCGAACAGCTGATCAAAGGGAGAACAACTGATCAGCAGTACCCGCCGTCTAAACGGCTACTCTTAAGAGTGATATAGGCTGTCTTATAAGTGGGGAGCTTTTTCAGGACCTATTGCGGTTTTGAACTTTATTTAGACTATCCGATACGCAGCCCTGAAGACTAACGTATAGGTCACATTGAAATAAAAAATTGGTCTTGAAAATGGTAAACAAACCAAGAAAATGTGTAGTCGAATATGAATGAATTAGAGGAAAGAAATACGATATTGTTATTGACTCCTTAACAGTCTAAATATAAAAAGCACGGTTTATTATTCTAACTAAAAATTAGTTAAAGAAAGTTCCACTAGAAATTTATTTGCTTGTTTGTAGTTAAGCACAAAGCATCACAAGTGGCTATCTATGCTGTAGCCACCAGGAGTATCAAAACTCGGTTTTTAGCGTTGAGGGTTTTACTGAATTAAACCAGTTAAAAAATATAAGAAAAAACAACAACTAAAAGCTCGTATGTATGTGTAGATAGAAAACATTACGTAGCACCTGTAGATTCTCTGTTATGTTTACAAAAACAGTGACACGAAGTAAAGATTGAATGGGTAAGTTTTCATGTTCTAAGTAAAAACAATCATAATCCTATACAAGGTTGATAGGGCAAGAAAAATACTAGTGTTATTTTCACCCATTCACTATCCAAATTCAAATCTAAAATGTTAGGTGTTTGAGTTTGGAAAACTCGGGATGTTCGAGAAGTAGTCGACTCTCCTTCGCCCCACACGCGTGTGTAAGATGGGGGAAAAAAAGAAGCAAAAAAAAAGTACAAGTCTGCCAGTGTAAGTGCAAAGTAGGCAAGGGGATAAGACAGCCGACAACCATACTGAGAAATATTTGGCTGGGATTTAGAGATCCAATGCCAAGAATTTGGATGTGTGTGTGCGTGAGAGGGGGGGGGTGAAACGGGAGAACCTCGAGAAAAACACTTTTACTGATTGGGCGTCAAAAAATCTACCCAACCAGTGCTTAGTTGTTATCTGAGAGGAAAAGGCTTAAAAGATAAGAGTTAAAGGGGGATACGTGCTCCTCCCATGAGGAGAGTGTAGCTGCTACGGGAGGAAATTGTGCAGAAAATGAGTTTCCGTTGATGCTTTTCTACAGAATTTTGTTGCTACTTTAATAATTCTATGTTAGATAGAAGGTATAGTTGAGATTTGGTCTATGTAGTAGGTCAGAGTGTAGGTGAGGAGGTGGAAAACTAGATGTAGTACTATGTTTTAGAATAATTGCTATTTTTAAAAGTGCTATCTGACATGTTACAAGGGACCATGGAATCATATTCTATCAGTGATCTAACAGGAACTTTGTATATTAGTAGCAGCGTGGATAATTTACATCCACGGAAGCGGTAACTTATCTTTTTTGAGATGGAGAAACCTGGCGTGCATTTTCCTTAATATTTCATTGAAGTGTTTTTCCATGTGAAGTTATTGTTGAATGTCATACTTAAGGATGTAATAGTGCTGGTGAACCAATCAACTATGAGGTTCACAAGCCAAGGAAAATGTTCAATGTTAGTTTTCCAGGTGAACAAGACTGATAATATAAACAATTAATTCAGTTTTAGTCTCACAGATAAACAATTTACCAGATTGATAAAGCAAATAAAATATTCAGTGTTCAATTCACTAGTCAACATTGTAACCAAGTCGATAAGGAAAGGAAAATATTCAGTGTTCCTTTCATTGGTCAACATTGTAACCAGATTGATAAAGCAAATAAAATATTCAGTGTTCAATTCACTAGTCAACATAGTAACCAAGTCGATAATGCAAGGAAAATATACAGTATTCCTTTGACTTGTCAACATTGTAACCAAGTCGATCAGATTATAAGGCAAGGAAACTATTCAGTGGTTGTTTCACTGGTCAACATTTTAACCAAGTTATAAAGCAAGTAAAATATTCAGTGTTCATTTCACTGATTAACATCCTAACCAGAATGATAAACCAAAGAGACAATTGAGAGTTAATTCACCGATCAACAGTCTATCAGGTTAATAAAATAAAGAAGATCTTTGCACTATTTTGTAGGGAGGCGAGTGGGCTATGGCGACCAACACAACAGTACTAGACTGGGCTGTGGCGACCAACACAACAGTATTAGACTGGGCTATGGCGACCGCACTGAAATCAATCCGCTGTGTAAAAAGAAGAAGAAGAAAAAAAAAGGAACCTGCCTCGCCCTCCATAGTATCCGCTCTCAAGAATAAACTTTTGTAAACCCCTCTCTCTTTCTCGCTACCTCTACTAATTCTCCCTCTTTAAAAATTGAAGAAAATGTGACGCCAAATTGACTATGCCGAGATTAAAAGTTAGAATGATGACCCTTCTTGCAAAACAATTGAAGGGACTCACGTCCCTGTTCTTAGTGGATTCTATGCCCATGATTTTGAATACAAGCCTTTTGCTTAAATGCATGCTATGTCGACATACTTTACAGAGTATTAACATATGTTTGACCTTCTTCATCATTTTGGTTTGATATTAAAGCATATGTTGTTTTCTTACTTACTGGACTTTTACACTGTTGGTTCTTCAGTATTCTCGAATACAATGACAGATATGCCAAAATTTCAACCTACTTTAGCGTTAGGCAAATGCTAACTCTCTCCACAAGAAACAGTCCCACTGTTGTAACGTTATTCTTTTGTTGTTGTTTTTCTTTTCAATTACTTGGTAAACATAATTGAACATCAAGTTCACGTAACAATAATAAATTAGTTTTATATTCTCCTTAACATTTCTACAAGCTGCCTTCACAGTACACAGATCTAGGCTACGTTTACAAATGACGTAACTGCACTGTACTAACATAAAAATCAACTTACTCGTATAATAATTCAGTATGCGCTATAACACTGAAAACCTACTTAGCCAACTAACTGGCCCACCGATGTTTATAATTTAACATTGTTCTAGATATTTCGCAAAGCCTTCTGTTCATTAATTATTCTTGAATATTCCAAGTTTAATTTGATCTTAATGTGAAGCGCCCTCTAGAAATTCTTAAATTACAACTAAAGGTGTGGCGATACAGCGATACGATTATATCGATACATCGTCCGATACGATACGATTTATGTATCTTAACGAAATTTGTCAAGCTTGCTTGTTTGTTTGTAATTAAGCACAAAGCTACATAATGGGCTATCTGTGCTCTGCCCACCACGGGTATCGAAACCCGGATTATAGACATACCGCTGTGCCACTTGGG